ATCTAGTCAGCATGGACGAGTTGGACTGAAAGGCTTTTATGCTGTACATCTCTATGACAGCGTGATAAACCTCCTATGGGCCAAATTCTTCCTATAGTCTCAAGTAAAAGACAGAAAGGAACTGAAGGATTTCCAGCATCGTACAGCCCAATAAAAAGCTGGCAAGGATCTTCCAAATCAATCTATATCACAGTCCCCATCATTAATTTCAGCTGGTAGTCAAAAGTCAGGTTTAACACAGTCAGAAATGTTAAGAAAGTAGAATCAGGTTAATGGAAATGGAAGGAGATTCCAAATGGCAAGAGAAAGCAGCCAATTAGATTGAAAGTATATCAAGTGGAAGAAGTTATTATTTTCATTCTTTCTTGCTAAATGATAATATTTTGTTAAAAACACACTAGTGTTAAGTTTTTTTTTAAACTGTGAAATCAATCCAGTAGCATTGCTCATATGTGTGTCTGGTTGTGATTAGTAAAAATAAGTAGCAACCCAAGCTTAAATTTTCAGTATTATCAATGCTAGTTTAATCATGGGCAATTCTAGAAACATATATATTAAAATATTAAATGGTACATGTACAAGCTCTATTCAAATGAGGAGTGAATGTAAAAAAGGCTAGATCTCAGCATTTTATTATATTTCCCTCACTGTTGGGATGTGTAAACAAAGTAAGTTCAATAACATTTGTCTGCAGTTGAGCATGTGTTAGTGCAATACACAACAACTATCAGCTCAGCTCTTCTAATACATAGTCGGTGAGTATTGGTAGAGGTTATAACCAAGGTCACGCTTGTCCTCACCGAAATTCACAAATATTCTGTTTCTAGTTGGGACCTCGTAATTGCAGAAGCACCTGATATTCACCATGCAAATGTGGTAGGATATTTTGTAGATCAAAAATTCTACAAGAAATTGTGCTCTCAATTGCTTCCTCAGATTTGATCAGATGTAACGTGGGCTCAGCACCTTGAAACACTGGAACAGCCGCACTCGTTCAGCCCTTCAAGCTTGTTTGGTCTTTCAAATAGATCACATTGAACCTGCATCCTAACTGCAGCGACCCACACTTATGTCATAGCACTCCATAATCAGACCTCTCAAATGTTAATCTCTCTCTCTGTACCTTCTCTGTGGCTGTAACACTGTATGCTGCACTCTGCCCTGCTACCCTGATGTACTTTGTATGGTACAATCTGCCTGCATAGCACGCAAAACAACACTTTCCATTGTATCTCCGTACATGTGACAACAATAAATCAAACTCCTAACTGGATCATAGATTTCACATTATTAATTGAGTTAGCATCTATTGCTGTTGTTGGGACAGAGTTCCACATATTTACTGTCCTTGACAAGAAGATGCATTTCTCCTAAATGGTGAAACTCTAATTTTTAAGAAAAAATCCAAAAGTAAGGTCTTAAAAGTAAACAAGGAAAACTACAAACATATGAGGCGCAAGTTTACTGGGGTGGATTGGGGAAATACTGCTGTTAGTATTTAATGAATTTATGCATTGTTTATAACATACATTGCTTTAAAGCATAGAAATTCAACAGGAATTGCGAAATATCCATGGCTAACAGATATGCTTAAAGAATATATTAGACCAAAGGAGAAGGCAGATCAAGTTACCAAAATGTAGCAAGCCTGAAAATTAGGGGCAATTTAGAATTTGTCAAAAGATTATCAACAACTTGGTACAGAAAGAGAGATTAGAATGTGAATGTAAACCAGCAGGAAACCTATAAAAAAAACTCAAAGCTCCTATAGGTATGTAAAAAGGAGAAGATTATCAAAAGCAAAAGTGGGTTTATTACAAGCAGACACCGGAAAATGTATAATGGGGAATAAGGAAATGGCAAGAAGATAAATAATTACTGTGTCTATCTTTGTGGACAAGATGAAAGAAATCTCAGAAATAATAGATCCAAGACATTAATGGGAAGAAATTAGTTTTTGTAAGAAAGTGGTACTGGAGGAATTAGTGACACTGAAAGTTGGCAAATCCTAGGGACCCATAAAATCTACATCCTAGAATGTTGATAGAGATGGCCACAGAGATGGTGGATTGTAAAGGTGATCATCTTTCAAAATTCTATTGGTTTGGGACTGTGTTTGCAGGTTGCAAGGTTGCAACTGTAACTGCACTATTTCGACAATGGAAGAAGGGAAAAAACTCCAGACCTGTTAGCCCAATGTCAGCAGTTGGAAAATACCAGAATCTATAACAAAGGATGTGATAAATGGACACCTAGAAAATAATGATTTGATTGGACTATGCCAACATAGATTTATGAAGAGGATATAACATTTGACAAATCTGTTTTAACATGTTTCTAACTGAGTAGATAAGGGGAAACCACGAGATGTGGTATTTTTGGGTTTTCAGATGACTTTCTATAAAAGACTCACAAGAAGTTAGTAAACAAAATTAGAACTCATCGGATGAGGGTTAATGTTCTGGCATAGGTTGAGGTATTATGAACTGAAAGAAAACAGTAGGAATAAATAGGTCATTCTCAGGTGAGCAGGCTGTAAGGTCCTAGTGTGGTGTTGCATGGATTAGTGTTTGAGCCACAGCTTTTCCTACTCTATATCAATGTTGTATGTCTGGAGCAAAAGTAATGTATTCAAGTTTGTGGATACCACAAAGTAGGTGGGAATGTATTACATGAGAATGTTGCAAAGAGGTTTCACTTGGTTTTGGACAGGCTGGGTGAGTGGGCAAGAATATGGCAGACAGACTATAATGTGGATATGTGCAAGATTTACCATGTTGGTAGGAGGAACAGAAGTGAACAGAGTATTTGTTAAATGGTGTGAGCTTGAGAAATGTCTAATGTAATTACTAAATGGTGTGAGATTGGGAAATGTTCACATTTAATAAGAACTGTGTTTCCTTGTTAATAAATCACTTAAAGCAAACATGTATGTACAACAAGCAATCAGGAAGGCAAATGGTATATTGACCTTTATCTGAAGAGGATAGGAGTACAGGATTCAATAGTATAGAACCTTCATGAGACGTTACCTGGAAAAGTGTGTGGAGTTTTTGTTCTGTTAGCTAAGGGAGGATATACCTGCCATAGAGGTAATGCAAAGGAGGTTCACTTGACTAAACTATGGGAGGACGAGTCTATGAGGCAATTCAGGAGCTGGGCCTCTATTTTCTACAGTTTAGAAGACTGAGAGTTTATTACACTGAAACTTAAAGCACTCATAAAGAGATAGACAAATTAGAGGCAGAAAGGATGTTCCCTCTGGCTGGTGGGTGCTCTAGAACCAAAGGTTACAATCTCAAAATAAGAGTCATGCCATTTATTACAGAAGTGAGGGAAAATCTTCACTCAGACAGTGGTGAATCTTTTGAATTATCTGTCCCAGAGACCTTCAGAAGCTCAATGTTCAAGATTGAGATAGGTGGAATTCTAGATACTAAAGATATCAAGGAATATGGGGATGGTGCAGGAAGATGGTGTTGAGGCAGATGATCAGCCATGATCGAGAATGGCAGAGCAGGGCATGGCCTACTCCTGCTCCTGTGTTCTTGTTCTCCCACCAGCAGAAAAAGTTTATTTCTGAGGTTGTTGACTTGCTCGCCGAGCTGGCTTGTTTTTGTTCAGACGTTTCGTCGCCACGCTAGGTGACATCATCAGTGGAGCCTACGATGAAGCAATGTTATTCTACTCCGCTTGGAATTTATACTGTCTGGTCCGCTATGGTGAGTACTGTCATTTCCGGTTTTGATCTGAATGGGTTTGTATGTGTACAGATCAAAACCGGAAATGACAGTACTCACCGTAACGGACCGGACAGTATAAATTCCGAGCGGAGTAGAACAACATTGCTTCATCAGAGGCCTCACTGATGATGCCACTTAGCATGGGAACGAAACGCCTGAACAAAAACAAGCCAGCTCGACGAGCAAGTCAACAACCTCACCCACAACCCGAGCTACAGATCTTTGCCAAAACTTTAAAGTTTATTTCTGCCTACCCTACCAATTGTGTTCAAAATTCTAAAATCCTTAATCAAATTACTTTTTGATTGATGCCAGAGAACACAAGCCTAGTTGAACTTCCTGAGAGCGTAGATGAAGCAAGTATAATTGTGGGGTATAATTGTATAATTCAGAAAGGGTTTGAGAAAAACACCTGAAACATAAAACAAAAATCACAGAAGTAGGGACACATGTGAAGGAATAGGATAATGTGATTTCCTCTACAAATAGCCGGCCCACACACAGCAGGTCAAATGACCACTGTCTGTATTGTAACCCTTCGGTGACTCAAGTTGATGTAAATCTCTCCTTGTAATTTAACTTTTGAACTCCTGGTAATATCCTGGTGCACCTAAAATGCATTCTTTCCCAGAACAATGTATATTTTCCAAGATGCGATGCCAAGAACTGTAGACAGTGGTCCAGCTGTGATCTAAGCAAGGCTTTGTCTAGCTGCAGCTATATGATCTATCCTACTAGTTATTAAATGATAACATTCCACTAGTTATTTGGATTATTTAGGAAAAGGAGTTGCTTTAGTGTTAAAATGACACATTTAATTGATTAGTGTAATTTCTTTTGACAAGAATGCTCCATCCTCAATGCTATTCACAAATATTATATGCACAATGTTTTAACAATTACAAACTGACATTGCATTAAAAATTACATGACAAATCATCTTGTTTCACAATAACTGTGCTACAGTAGAAATTGTTCTGAAAATGATTAATACAATCCGACAGCAACAATGATGACATAATAGGGTAACAATCAAACTTAATCCAACATCTAAGACAAGCACTTGGCTGCTGTAAAACGTCTTGGGCTGTACTCGCAACAAGAATGAGAGCGCAGTAACATGCAAATAAAATATAAACGTATGCATTTTAATACTGACCACATTAATAGAGTTGCAATGATGAAAAACGAGTAATGAAACAAAAAAGCTGCGTGCACAAACTTTTCAGCAAAATGAAACGGAGATAAAGTACTAACCTTTCATGTTCTGTTATTATACTCTATCTGCAATAAACGCCTGTTGCATCTCACCATGAAAAAACCTTCCTTGCAGAGTTAGCCAGACAAGAACTTCCTGTAATTCAATAAAGGTTCAAGATAACGTTGAAATGAACATAAGCACAGAAAGACGAAGACAGGCAATTTGTTGCAAAAAAAAACTAAACAGTCTGAAGTATAGATTTAATTATGATCGTTTTATTTATACATTTTAAAAAGATTACAGACTTTTTTGATTTTCAAAGTACGTCATGATTACATACCTAGCTTTCGGCTAACTTTCCTTCATGAAAACATGTCTGAGAAACGCAGACTGCAACTAAAATCTTGCACTAATCTTACTTGTTCTGGAGCCTAAATAAACATCCTCACTTTTTGAAAAAAAGGCTGGACGTTTTTGCCCAGGCGATATGTTTCACGTTTGGAGAACCGTGACCTTGGCTCATTTCACTCAAATATTTCCAGGGAAGCAGCGACCATGTTGTCAGTTTGCAGGGTAACCGCAGTTGGGGGACGCTAATTGTAAACAAATGCATTTGAAATGACAGTGGGTTAAAAAAAAAAATCACTTTATATTAAACGTTCAGAACAGAGCTTTTAAAGTATGTAAAAGTCATCGTTCAAAGTTCCTTTCAGCCTTATTGGAAAGAAAAGTCTAGCAATATACAAAGTGTAAAGAGACATATATATGCAAAACTCATCCCTTAGAAACTAACGTGAAAAAAAAACATTTTTCAATGCCTGTTCTCCTAATGCTTGTCAACATTAGAAGATAATATTCTCAACAATTCCCGGCAAGTTTATAAAACTAAAACTCATCATGTTCAGGATGTACATTTCTACTAGTCATTTAACCTGATTTAAGTGATTTCCTCAGCCTTTGAGTCACATAAACACTCTAAGAAGCGATGATAATGAAAGGTAATTGACACAGAAACACAATACAACTCCCTGCTGTTTGTGGAAGACGCCCCTGCTCGCTTCACGCTTTATAGCCTGTGTCGTGTTGCCCACTGCTGGATCTTCGCAGCATTAGCATTAAGCGTCTGAATTCTAGTCATTCGGGCTTTTTTTTCATCTGGATGAGACAGCCCATGTCGATTTTTCCAGAAAGTCCCAGAAAGCTATTCAACATTGCGTATTGGTGACTCAACGAAAATGTAAATATAACCTTGAGTGCCAGGATAAAAAGGTCCAGGACTGCTGCGCGAAGCGGAGATCAACAAGGGCAGGGACAGATCTCTGTGCAAGGTATGGACACAAGAAAACATTTATTTTACGATTGCTAATAGTTTGGGAGGGGACTGTTCACTGGTATTGCATCAAAAAGGATAGCTTATTTTAAACAATGCAATTTTTTTTTAATTGAACGATCCTATTTGGAAATATATTGTTCTAAAACATTAAAGAGTGCAATGAATGATTAGCAATGCAGTGTTACCATAGCCAACAGTAAATTTATTGCTTGTATTTTGCTTGTAGCATGTGTAGGTCAAATTGAACCTGGAGCAATTAAACTTTAAAAAGTTTTAAAAAAAGGAACAGGCTGAAATATATTGCAGATGATATAAGTTGATTTCAATTTTTATATATTTGAAGGAATTGATGTAAATAGCATCCTGTTATATAACTTACGTCTTATCAATCAGAGCCAGTTGCAATAACCGTTTTCTATCCTAAAGCTAGAAACTGAAGGGTGAGTTGACGAATCTTAACATTTGGCGCGTACTTATAACTAATTTGGAAAGTTATTGTGAGCTTTCTGCCATTAATACTCGAGGTAAGACCGCAAAATGCATGTACAGACTTCCTGATACTGTAATTAGTCTGGAGAGAAGTCTTACTTCAGTTGTTGCCACAAGGAATTCCACAGCATTGTCCAGTTATTGCTCATTGTTTACAATTTGGGCACATCATTGTAAATCGACGTAGCTGCTCCACCTCGCGTCGAGAAATGGGTAAGGCCTTAGGCACACAAAGTCTATATTATTTGCCGAATTCAAAAATGAACAGGAACATTGTTCTTGTCCTTCAAAGATTAATAACAGCTCGTAGATTTTGACTTTACAATAAGTTCAAAATCTGTTTGCAAAAAAATTCCAGCTTAAGTAAAACGCACATTTTGCTGCCTTTAAAAAATTGCAATCATTGAAGAACTAGAAGTACTGTGACAAGGTTGGCTAAATTGACAGATATATAAACATTCTACCAAAGGAATGGGAAATTGGTTGGAAAAGAGGTGGTGGCGCAGTGCAAGGATAATAAGATCCCATGGTGCAGTTCCCACAGTGTGATTTTATTTTAAATTGCTCACTATCTGTCATGAGTGCATATGCTGGATGTGAGAAGTTTTGAACAAGATAACAATGTAGCATTTCCCTTCCCTCTCTCTTACTGAAGAGAGAAATTTGGACAAAGACAGAGACGCAGGGGAGATGGGAAGAATTGTATTGGGGGTGAGTCTCTTTCTTTGCTTAGTGGTTGCTATTAACATGCCCCTCCCAGTTCTCACCATTGCATAAACTTGGGAGGAGGAGCAAAACAGAGAAAATCAGTTAAATAAATAAACAAGGTACCATTCTTAACCGTTATTAATAGGGCTATTGTAACAATATGATGAAAACATGATAATGGAGTCAGCTATTTTTCCTTGCTGGTTATCATTTAGAATAGTCAAGGTTATTGTTCTAGTTGTTGGCTCACTGCCAGACTGCAGTTGTATGTTTCTAGTCTGCTGCAGACTGATTGCATCTCAGAGGGAGTATTTTAAAACAGAGAGAGACTCAATATGCTGATTTTTATGTTTACCCGAACAGCTGCCCTGAAGAGAGGCAGAATAATGATCATTTTAAAAAAAATATAATGTTTAAATTTTTTTTTTAACTAAAGCAATTATCTGTGCTGATACCAAGAGCAAACTGGGAGCATTAAGCTGTTTGGATACTCATCTACAAAATGATAGCTTCACAAGCTAGGGAAGGGCACCAAAAAATCCGAGTGCTGAAAATTAATGTTTGTAAAGACCTACAGTATAGCACTTTATTCAGGCCTGAGACAACTGTTAGTAATAAAATGCTGCAAATTCTCTGCATTCATGAAGAGGGAAAACTCATTAGCATTTCAAGTCTGTGACCTTTCATCAGGGTGGTTTTGAGTATTTCTAGCATTTTCCAGTTTTTTATTTCAGATTTCTGGAGTATTTTGCTTTTGTAAAATATTGGATGTTTTGTTTTTAACATAACTGCTTTTGGGTGTAGGCGATTCCATTCTTGATGTAAAGGTTATAGAAGACAATAGATCCTACTGTGTATAGTTGGGAAGCAATCTTGATGCCTTTCACTTTGAATCATCAAAATCAGCTATAACTGGGATTTAGTGAAGATTGCTTGTAATGGGATTCATAGCTGTGTCTGTTAAGTCTGTGGCTTCAAGTAATGATGAGGATTAATTATAATGCACCATGGAGGAATAGAATGTGGATTCCTAAACTCTTCTGTAATGTTCATCAGGCAGATTGCAGAGTGAAAAGAAAGGCTCATAATCTCAACAGGTGCTGCATGGTCAACAGCTTTTTTTAGTTTTTTTTAGGAGTAGTCACAATTTTATTGTAGGAAATGTGGTCATGTTCTGGCACAAAATTTCGCACACAACACTAAAATTGACCAGATTACTTTCCTTTTAGTGATGTTAATAGGGAGATAATCATTGGCCAGGATACAGGGGAAACTTCCTGTCTCTCCTTCAAAATGGTCTTTTACAACCAGTTAAAAGGGCAGACTGGCCTTCAGTTCAACATCTCATTTCCAATGGTATAGCACACCCTGAGAGCGACAGTATAGAAACTGTGCATAAATTTATGAAGTGGGGTTTGAATCAGCATCTTGCAGGCTTAAAGTTGAGCAACAGTTGCAACCGAGGCAACATCTGACAATGCAGGATGAACTTGCATTTTAAGAGTCAGAACAGCCATTTGTGACAATGACATAATGACAATTTGACTGTTAATATTAACAGTGATATCTAGCATCAATATAAAATATAACCAGCATCTATTAGCAAAAAATCCATAGTATTTTCTAGCAGAACACATTAATATTTCATTTTGAATCTTTGCCTAGGGTCTGTTTTATTGGATCAAGCTGCAGAAATTTAGAACGATGCCCAGAAAACCACAGAATGATACAAGAAGCTTATATTTTCCTCCAGGGGGGAAAATGACATGGTTGCAATGCTGGTTGTAAATATGCTCAGAAATTCATTTGCAAGTTGGACCAGAGTGACCCTGGGATTAGTGTGACTAGATTTCTTTCTAATTTATCAGAGGTCATAGGTGATACAATATATAACGATAAATTAAGGTGCTTTGGCTGCAGCACAGTCCGATCACAAATCCAAATGATATAAGAATAGTTAACTTTTTTTTATTTTAGAAAAGCAGGTGTGAATGTCCAAAATTGAACTGGAAGATAGTTCCTGAAGTAACTTGGACACCAGAGATTGAGCCACAGAAACATAGTTGCACACTCTGTTCAAAACTTGGATATAGAGGAGATAACCGAGTATGGCTGTCATAATTCTCCATCAAGAAATATCTAAGGATCTCCAGCTGGCAAGATAATTGACGCATTTGAAAGAAAATGTCTTTTAGATGAGTTAACTCCATAAGAATTTATAATACTTTCAATTCTAAAATAAACTCTAATTGGGTATTCTTTCCTCTTTTAAAATAATCAATTCTCTCTTATGAAAAATCAAACTGAGGAAGACCATTCATTCCACCCAGCTGACTCCTATGCAAAGTCACCACAATCCCATTCTGTCTCTCTTGTTGGAGAGTGACAACTGTTGGTGGTTTAACATGAGGGTCACCATGCCTCAGGCAAAAGGAGAGGTTGAGAAGGAGAATTGGCGTAGTGGCTCAGTAGTTAGCATTGCTGCCTCACAGTGCAAGGGACCCAGGTTTGATGACACCCTCTGGCAACTGTGTCTGTGTGGAGTTTGCACATTCTCTCGATGTCTGCGTTCTCCAGTTTCCTCCCACAGTCCAAAAATGTGCACGTTAGGTGGATTGGCATGCTAAATTGCCCATTGTGTCTAGGGGATGTGCAGGCTATGGGAAATGCAAGGTTACAGGGATAGGGTAGGGGGTGAGACTGAGTGGGATCCTCTTTGGACGGACAGTGTGGACTCGATGGGCCAAATGGTCTGCTCCCACATTGTAGAGATTCTCTGATTCATGGTAACCTCAGCCAGTGTGGGAATCGAATCCATATTGTTAGTATCACTCGGCACTGCACAGTCATCCAGCTAACTGAGCTAACCAACCCCAATATACAAACTTATGGGTTTCCCAAAGTATAGAAACTAACTGTGACGTTAATGGCTAAGAATCAGACCATTCCTTTCTAAGGAGCCTAAAAGGGTTTTCTATGATGGAGAACCACTATAGAGAACGGTGCAGAGGTTTTTCAACTGATTAGTTTATACCACTGCAGCTCTGACACAAACCATTTATTGACAATTATGATCAAAATTCAATTTGTCCCACTTCTGTTTACTTAATACACAGCATTATAAATGTTTTTCCCCTTTCATCATCCAACCTGGAACATAAATCTCCCTTCATCAAATTTGTAAGTAGCATTCATTTATTTGGTGGTTGATGTTATAACAGAGACTGTTCAGAATATTTGGCTTGTACATCACATGAGTTGGATCATTCATATGCACTTTGTTAATGGATAGCTCACTCTTTGAACCCTGAGTAGCTGCAGTTTGGGCAAGTGTTACTTCTGTTCCTTTGACCTTTAGCCTCACCCTATTCCAGTAAACAGAATAAACTGTTTGTTTCTACTGGCACCTTCTCTTTTTCAGCGACACAATTATTTGACTCCTGTCTCCCCTACTGTCAAATCCTGAGAATTCAACATGCACTTAGCCCACTCCATGTTCTCAATCTTGGTGATTTCAACTTCCATATCAGCTCATCTTGTTCTTACTCATTCTGGGATCACTCTGCTCCAATCCTCCAACATCCATATTAATTTCTCTGCCCGTATACATATCAGCCCCTCAGCCATGTCATTTTCCTTTTTCTGCATCATAGTTAACATCATCTTTGATCATCTTCCTTATTCCTTCCAACCCAACTTCTTCCTGTCTCCACTCTTAGGGGGTAACAATATTCCTTACACTACACAACTCTTTACAATCTAGGTCTTAAATCTGTTGTTTTCCAGTATACTTCCTCA